GACCCCTGGGGAACCCCACTGGTTACACGACCCCACTCGGATTTAACACCATCTACGCTGACCCTCTGCGTTCTATCGGTGAGCCATGATTTTATCCAATTTAAAACTTTCCCCTCGATACCATGAGCCTTAATTTTTCTCAGAAGCCTCTGATGCGGTACTCTGTCAAATGCTTTGCTAAAGTCTAAATAAATCACATCGTAATTTTCGTCATTATCTACTACCTCGAAGACTTTCCTATTCAAGGCATCTTCAGAGGCAACTGGATTGATGTGTGGCCATGCAAACAGGGTAATTTCACTGTTTCATGCCCATTCATTCAGCCCTGACAACAGTGCTGCATTGCCAGATCTCATACCTACTGCAAGCCTTTACACACTCCCAGGCTGTGGAATGTTCATGTGGAGGCAACTCTATCACCATCATTCTTAGCTAATTAGTAAACTGATATTTATGATATTCATAAACATCTGTACAGTACAGTACTAAGATAGTGAAGTAGAGCTTGTGTTAACAGATAGTGAAGTAGAGCTTGTGTTAACAGATAGTGAAGTAGAGCTTGAGTTAACAGACAGTGAAGTAGTTAACACTTTAACCAGCAACTCATTATTGGCATTTTCATTATGACATTCTGTTCTGTACTGTACTGTACTGTACTGTAATTGAAAGATTCTCTATCACATGAGCTGAGGCCAAGCTGTGGTTGATTTTGGCACCAGTACAGTTCAAAACAATCAAGATGGACACTGGAGACCTGGTGATGCAATATTATTGGGCACAATAACGCTGTAGGAAGCACATTCGTGGTTCCACTGCCTGCACTATTTCTGCCAAGGAAATTTTGGAGTCCCATCATCCAGGTAAAGATGATGGGAGATTCACACTGTGATGTGATGTCAAGTCAGCCATATAACTATGTTTGCTTAACCTCTATATCCCGGGCTAGGGTGCCGCTGGCCGTATCCCCCACACGGGTTAAATCGAGAAAAATCAACTTTTCCAAAAATATTTTTTAACCTTTTGAAATGATAAAACAATCAAAAAGAAGTAAGAAAAACTATATTGACCCTCTAGAAACTTCCCTGGGGCAGAGGCAGAGAGGGAGATAAGGGGACAGTCTTATCTTGATGGCGAGCCCTCAAGGTCACTACTCACTTGGTGGCAATTTTCTGCTTGCCCTTGTGTCTGGGATGGCCAATAATGCATATATTTAATGATCATAATACTTATTTCCTATAAATAATTCATTTAGAATATTCTATTTGCATTATTTTTCATAAAAAGTGCTTGGCCACACACACGCAGTCTGTCGCCAGGCTGTCTGGTTGTCTTTGCGTTTGGGAGAGCAAATAATGCATTTAAATAATTATCGGAATAATAATTCCACAAATAAATACATTTATAACAATCATTGCATTATTTTCAGTAATACTATACTACAATACAACTAGTCATGCGCCGGTTAATGTCCTAGATACGTTCTTAGAAACGTGACATTAACCGAAATGGACGTTATCCGATCATCACATAAACTTTGCCTTTATACTTGCGTGTATGTGGAATACTATATACGTACATATACAGTATTACCCCGCTTTACACGGTTTCACTTTCCACGATTTCTCATTTACGCGGTACCTTGCCAGAACCGGACGCGTGAAGTATAATTTCTTTTTTTTTTATTTAGCTCATAAAATTCATACAAATTACCCGGCCAGAATATAATTTACATTGCTGGAATTCTTACAATATGATGATCATTTTGAATATAAACATCATGGATTTTGCATTAGACATACAAATTTTAGATCTAATGTAATAATTTGGTTTACACAAAGTAAGTATTTTATCTTTTGTGCAAAATATATGAAGTTTACATTCAAAATATTCCCTGACCTGCAAGGAATCCAGAAATGTCAATTATATTATCCAAACTTTAGTTTGAGGTATTATTTATTACTAAATGTTAAAATCTAGTGTTTCACCCAATCATTTCTCAGAGAGGTAGGGGCCAGTGAGCTGGGAAGAGGGGGGGGGGGATTTGAGTCCATTATTTGAATGGACATTAACCTGGCGACTGTATTTCTCTTAAATATTAATTGTGTGAGCATACCATCATAAAATTTAGATGTTATTTTTACTACAACATAGGTATTGTGTCGGAAAAAGTGGAGTCTGGGGGTCAGGCCAGTCTCTATTGGAATTAATCCCATATGTTCTGTTGTTCACTTTACGCGGTTTTCACTTTCCGCGGTACCCTGTGGGTTCAATTGACGGTGTAAATCAGGGTACTACTGTACACTCTTACTCTTAAATCACTGCTGTAATGTGATACAGGTGATTAATTTTTATCTCTTGTGCAAAATACATGACGTTTATATCAAAATTATTCACCGTCTTACAAGGATTCCAGCAATGCTGGGCAGATGGGGGAGAGGGAGCGAGCGAGCGTGGGGGGAGGGGAGCGGGAGGTGAGGTGGTACGTTGGACAGTTGGCACCGGCCCAAGGTCTAACGCGTATTTATTTATCAATTCTTAAGTGACTAAGCTTCTCTCTCTTATAAAAATCCAATGAAATGACCTGGGTGAATATAATTTACATTGCTGGGATTCTTGTAAGATGATGATTATTTTAAATATAAACATGCTATAATTTGCACTAGACATAAAAATTTAGTACCGTAATCAAATTAGTACATGTGCACTCCAGCTTTGGACTAAGGTCATTTATTTCTTTTACGGTTCTTTTAGTATGGTGTGTGCATGTATATGGATGAAAATAAATTAAGAAATTTATGTAAATCTACCAAAACTACAGTTGAATAACTTTGTATTTTAAAATGTAAACTAATGTACAGTACTACAATTTTTATCTCCTGAGCAAAATATATAACGTTTATATTCAAATTAATCTCTGTCTTGCTAGGATTTCAGCAATGTAAATTTTATTCGCCTATAGTCTGAGATATTATATGAAAATCTTAAGGCCTAAAACCCCCCACGCGAGGGAGCAGGAGGGGGAGGGGAGCAGGTGAGGCGATATGATTTGACAGTTGGCGCTGAAGGCCTGCGTGTTTATTTATCATTCCTTAAGAGTGACTAAGCTCTTCTCATAATTTGCCACCCAAATGACCTGGGTGAATATAACTTACATTGCTGGGATTCTTGTAAGATAGTGATTTATTTGAATACCTGCATAAACAAGCTATATTTGCAATAGACATAACAATTTTAGTACCATAATCATTTAGTACATGTACAGTACAGGTTTGCACTTAGGTCCATTGTTAACCGAGGGACCACTGTATTGCAGTGTACTTGTACTGTACAGTAGTACCCCACATAACGCGGTCAATAAAACCCACAGGGTACCGTGTTAAGTGAAAACCGTGCTAAGTGAACAACAGAACATATGGGATTAATTCCAATAGAAACTGGCCCGACCCCCAAACTCCACTTTTTCCGACACAATACCTATGTTCTAGTAAAAATAACATCTTAATTTTATGATGGTACATGCACACAATTAATACTTAAGAAAAATAGAGAAATACAGTCGCCAAGGTAATGTCCATTCAAATAATGGACTCGACTCCCTACCCCTCTTCTCACACTAAATTTTAATAAATAATACCTCAAACTAAAGTTAGGATAATACAATTGGCATTGCTGGATTCCTTGTAAGACCAGGAATATTTTGAATATAAATGTCATATATTTTGCACAAAAGATAACATATTTACTCAGAGTAAACATTATATCTAAAATTTGTATGTCTAATGCAAAATCAATGATGTTTATATTCAAAATGATCACCAAATTGTAAGAATTCCAGCAATATAAATTATATTCTGGCCAGGTAATTTGTATGAATTTTATGAGCTAAAACAAATATCTTCAGTTAATAAAAAAAAAAATATTCTTCACGACACTATCTGTCAATCAAAGTACCCCACCTTGCCTCCCCCCCTCTTCCAAGCGCCAGATGGTCGGTCGGTCCCAATCCTCCCTTCAAGAGATGTTGGGTGAAAAAACTAAATTGTAACATTTAGTATTAAATAATACCTCAGATTAAAGTTAGGATAATATAATTGACATTGCTGGATTCCTTGTAAGACCAGGAATATTTTGAATACAAATGTCATATATTTTGCACAAAAAATAACATATTTACTCAGAGTAAACATTATATCTAAAATTTGTATGTCTAATGCAAAATCTATGATGTTTATATTCAAAATGATCATCATATTGTAAGAATTCCAGCAATGTAAATTATATTCTGGTCCAGTAATTTGTATGAATTTTATGAGCTAAAACAGGCAGGCAGGAAGGCAGGCAGGCAGGGTGGCGGGTGGGGCGAATCTAAAAATAGCGTCTCGAGCCGGACACTCTCCGCGTGTACGTGGAAAAAACCCGCGTTAAGTGAAAGTTCGGCTCTGGCGAGGCACCGCGTATACGTGAAATCGCGCTAAGCGAAACCGTGTTGAGCGGGGTATTACTGTACAATATTGACTAAATTCACTAGATAACGTACACAACTAATGGTTGGTAAAACTTGTCAAGTGAGTGTTAAGTCTGTCAGTATGAGTGGCACGTGTGAGTGCTCGTGTCCCCCATCATAGGAGTCAGTTTTTTTTCTCTTCAGGACGCCTGAGTCCTCCGTTTTCTCTCAATCTTAGAGTGCACCAGAGACTTTATTATTCCTTAGTAATGACACAGAATTTGAAATTGCAACCCCAATTGCAACTGGGGTTGCAATTGTTGAGTCAACTAGATATGTCTGATTACAGCAAATGTGTTATTGTCAATTTGTAGGTGAAAAATTTTATCCTCAATAGATGTGGGTTAACATTACAAATGGAGGCAAATGCTTACTGAAGCCTAAGGAAGGAAAGGATATTCAACACATAATATCTGGCCAGTATGGGAAGGATCATCATGTCTCCGTCAGGGAGTTGTGGAGTGGTGGTCCAGCAGGCGTCACTTTTTTTGGGGGCACGGACGTATATGCAATCGGACGTTGTTCGGTTGGACGTTAACCAGCGCATGACTGTGTACACTACTTTTAGCGTGAAGGGTCGAGGTACGACTCTCCATGGCAACAGGCTAATGCATACTAACCGCACTGAGCCCACCCACGTTACCCTGCGTGTGGCGTGACTACCAAATAGTCATGCTGGAACCTTATAACCCTAGCTAGGAATTCAAACAATGGCGCAAACAGGGGCGTGTTCCGGAATGTCAATCGGGGCGTAGTGGTTAAATATAAGTATTTATCTACTTTGCTTTGAAAAAATATATGACACAGTTTAAAAATATACACAATTGTTAAATATATTCATTCAAAATATATATAACACCAATTCTCTTTTGACTTGCTTAAACTTGGAAACTTGTGCCATGAAACGATCTGGTTAGAACTACGATTCTATCTGGAACCATCACTAATCTGCCAGGGATAAGGAGTTGACAGATGAAAGTTGCCAGAAAATAAACTCGTGTGATACCAAAGCATCACACAAGAGGGTTGTATAAAAATGTATAGCTTAATTATGATATAAAAGTATAATTCTTACCACCAGGAAAATAGCAATAACAAAAATATATCTACAGTACAGTAGTAAATCAGTGAATACTCCTTTCTTTTATACATTAAACAACAGTTATAACAACGAGGAATTTCAAAAACAAATTAATTTAATTTTCAAGCTATTTAAAAAAAAATATTGGTAAAATGTTAATGAAAGGAAAGGAATACTGTCAACAACACACATTTAAAATTATCAATGATGGGTACTGGGTACCTCACACTTGTCTCTCATGGCATAAAATGTATACAGGAATGTCTTCCTCAAGTAATGTTTGTCCTCCATTATTATTATAATTTGAATAACTAGGTGAGAGCTAGTCTTGTCAGGCACTGACAAGTTCAGTACAGCAAGAATATATTCTTGTTAGTAACTATATATGCATGTGGGCATATAAAGGGAAACAAACTTTCATTGTGTGTTTGTTAGATTAGAGCAACAAAATTCTTCATCAAAGAGTTTGATTATCTCTGTTCTTGGTCTTTATAAGTGTACATAAGGTTATCCTATGCCATTTTACCTCTACAGTACTGTACATGTGCAAAAAAAAGGCTGTTTTTCATTTTAGTTTCACATCAATCATTTTTTATTAAAGTATCTTTGGAAATTCTAACTGCATTCAACTTTTTTACTGTTTTTTCCTGCAGCACATACCACAGCACGGATACACAGTGTGTCATTCTTTAAATACTTTCCATTCTCTGACTCCATTATCTTGTTAAGAGATGTGAAATCTGTAAAACCAAATCCTTTAGGATTGCGAGACATCTCTGGTCTCATAAAAGCTTGTCGGTCTGGCTTACTCATCATTGTTTCTGTAATGTGGTTCTTGGGTAAGTTTGAGCCACAGTCCAGGACAGAGAGAGTTATTTGACCATTGAAAGGCCAGTCTAGGAAGTCATCATTATCACCCTGCATTGTGTGAATAAACAAGGCCAAAAAGTAATCATTAGATTTAAAAGTAATATTGATTCGCAAACAAAATTTATACCCAAATCGAGAAGTGTAAAATGGAGGACTGTGGTAGACTCTCGCAGGCTTATTTTGTAAATCAGCAGAAGAATGTGAGAAGTTTTTAATTTTCCAAACATACTCTCCATTACAAAATTTTCCATTTAACTCAGCCAACTGAGCTTCAAGATGAGCATCAACTTCTTCAATTCTCTTAGCCAAGTTACTAAGTTTAATGGTTTCTTCCAACATACTCTGGCTCAAGTCAACACTTTTCTCACACAAGTCTCTCAGTATTATCTCTTGCTGGGTGAGCAATGATGTAGAAGACTTGCAAGAGCCTTTGGTAGCACCTTCACCAAGAGTCATGTGATTCAGATGCAGCTGCAGTTTGTTGACGTCAATTCCCGAATCGGATCCTCCCTTGTCTCCATGTTGTGGTGAGGGAAACACTGGTGGTTTATCACTAGACCCAACAGCTCCAGATGCATTTAAGGATTTTTCTAATGTCCTCTCTGGATGAGAAGGACTTATGTAATTTTCAGGAATTGGAGATGTGGCAGACATCTGACTTCTTAAACTCGGCTGCCGACTAAAGTTTCCAAAAGGGGACTGTATCACACCAACTGTTCGACTTAACTCAGATACAAATGTATTGATTTTCTTGTATGCAGATGATAACAGCTGGAAAAAGGAAAAATACAATATGTATATGCCAATAAAATATATTTCATTACTTGAGCCAAAGGCAGTTTTTTGCTCCTTGACACATTTTAGTTGTCTCTCACAGTGAACCAGTATTACAGGTCTTTTCTGTCAAATCTTACCTTCAATTTAAACAAGAAAACATAAATGGTATACATACAAAGAGGTGGAACTGTGTTTCTTGTGCCATGTGCTGGTTAAGATCAACTCGGGTCATCTTCTGGTGACACCCGTGTTCAGCAAAGGGGCAAGCAACCACCACTTGAGGGCAGGATTCTGTCATGTGAGCAGCGACATCACCGCGTGCTACCATTGTCGCACACATCTCACAGGCCACTATTACTTGGACACAAGTCAGTAAATGAAGCTGAAAACATAATTAAATATACAGTACTGTAACTACAAGTATATTACAAGTTCACGAAAACTAATTTAAAAGTGTCATGAATGATGACTGTAAGACTCCTGCACACAGTACTACAGTTCACATACCTGTAAAATATTCATATTTTAAAATTCTTTTAGCTTTGTTATATACCTAACAATAAAGGTTCAAAAAGTACATTACACCTAGTTTGAAAAAAAAAAAGCCTTAGAAGTAATATTGAGCAATAAAAGGCATCTGAGACCATGTGACACCTTCATAGAGAGAGAATCCAGGGCAAAGATTCTTCAGTGCACATAAATAATAGCCTCAATACACACAACTTCTTAAATAAGTAAAATTTGAGATGGACATTGTTCCTAGGAGGTTGTAACTGATGTTGGGGCTGATCCTTATTCCTGTTCTATAACAGAGGATGGCAGTCGTCAGTTGCCAACCTACATAAGCAACCAGCTTCACTGACCCTTTTAAAGAATAAGAATAAGACTATCCCATAGAAGATGCACTGCCTATCAAAGTAAACCTAGTTGAAGAAGTTTTGGGTTTCACTGGACTTTAAGCTGCCTGGGCTTAGTGAGCACATTCACCAGTTGTTCTTGACAAGCATAAAATGAAAATAGTTTTCATGTATACGTACATACCAATTTAATAATGTATACTGAAGTTTCTAATCAAATGCAGAAGCTACTGGATAAGTTTCAATTGGCACATGGTTACCTGCACATACATCCTGCAGTGTGCCATCCACTCGTCTGCACTCCTGTGTATCCACCTTCCACACTGAGTTGCTGCCAAAACCCTTCTTACAGACAGCACAGGGCCATTTTCCACTATCCACCACATTCACTCTCAGGCCCTTAGACTCTTCCATCCTTCCATTTCTTTAGTTTCTCCACTGCCTCTCCAGTAGTATCACCACTAAGTCATCAGTATACCAGGGCAGACCAGTCTTAAAGTCCCATGTTATGGCCTCCATCACCATGATAAATAGAAGGGGTTCAAGACCACTACTTTTACCATTAACTCTCACCGAGGATCTTGAGCCCTCATGTAATGCTATTACCACCGAAACAAGACACTCCTCAACTCCTAGCTCTCTTTGCTACTTCACGTGATACTCTGTCAAATGCTTTCTCTAAGTCTACAAATTTGATGTAGAGTAGTACAATTTTCTCTCCTTCCCCAGATATTTCTCTTTTACCATAAATATTACCTGTATAATCTTCTTATTCCACTGCCCTTTCCACTGGCCTTTCATGATAACACTTTCTCCAGTCATCTGGAACAGTACATTCTATCCTGATTGAATTAGTCAACTTGGTCACCATTAACAAACCTACAATGCCGGATATTTCTTTTCTCATTTATCACTCTGTCTATCATCCTACAACCATGTTACTATCATTCTCACCAGTGATCCCCCTTGCTGAGCCACCTTCTACATAGTCTCTTGCACACAGCAGACACTGAGTTTTCTACAGCTCAATGTCTCCACAATCTCACCTGCTCTTCCAAGCATTGTACCTATGTTCAGACTACAAGCTCAGCTTTGATTGCATTCATTTGTGTGGGGTGTGGGTGGTTTTAGTGGGGTAGGTTTGTCATGACTAATATTAAGAGTTGGGTAACAGCTACTCACCACTTTAAACAGTCACTAGTTTACTCAACACTTACTTGCTCTTGGTTGAAGGTAAAAGGTTCATCACAGAGAGCACATTTCTTAACCCGTAACACACACTCACATGTCAAGTGCTGCTCAAGTTCTCTCTGAAGCACAGTAGCTGCACACTCATTGGGGCACATAACTGGCTGTAAAAATAACAAATTCATGTTTTATTTCCATCTTCCATTAATTAAATTACTGTATAAATAAACTAACCACAAGTATCCTTTGATTTACAACACCAGTAACTCTGTTTATCATTATTAATTTCATGATAGTAAATAATTTACACCTTGTATATATTTACAATACCTTTTCTTTTTTACAAATTTTCAAATTACTGTACTGTACGGTTTATATAAATTGTTTTGGGGTGTAAAAACATGGTTATTACTCAGTACTGTACTGTACCTTTATCAAAACAAAATAAATGAACAATGTATTGCAAGCAGTTTGACTGGTGACAGCATGTCATAATGAAATTGTTACTAGTTAATGGAATCTTTTGAATACTGTACAGCTTCACACTTCAAAAAACTCCTGTGACCAGCAGCAGCAATATCCAAGAGCTGCCCCATCAGTACAGTTTTAGGACTAACTTACTCAGTTCAGTACTGTATTACATTTAAAAAATTTATACAAGCACATATTTATACTGTACTGTGCTGCTAAGTGTCATTTTATTACATGTTTGAAATTTTTATATTTCCAGGAACCTTTTCCAAATTGATAATGACAATAAGTGAATAAATAAAAAACAAGACTGTATTTGAGATGTTACTTATAATCTGGAGAAGGATGCCTGCAGCTCACACTGGTCAACTGGCCCATCATTATTGGTAAAAGCAATGTTGAGACAATTCTGAACAACTGACAACCATCACTGCCAGCTATCCACAGCTGGATTCTCATATCACTATTTGATCATGACCTCACTAAACTACTAATAATTGAATTATTTACTTATTTGAAATAAGAACAAGGTATGAATAAAAAGAAGTGCATTATGAGAGCTGTAAAAGGGCCACTCAAATACTTGCCTGAAAGGAGCACACCTGAGTGTGGTGCTCAATATACATAAGGTCTATTATACGGGTGCAGCCGAGTGTGTGATTTGGGCATCTGACCTTCAACTGTAAGATTTCTCTCTCAGCACAAGAGTCAGGAAACAAGTCTGCCTCAGTGAGTGGGGTGTTGTCAATTGGGCAGCGGTTAATACTCTCACTGTAAGGTATATAAAATTGTCTAATAAAGGTAATAATACATGTTATTTTACACCTAATTATTAAAATACATTAACTCTTTGCTATTTGTACTGCTATTGGTACATTAAGAATTGTTCACAATAAGTTTTAGCTGTAATATTTTAGTCACAGTATTTTCCACTTGTACAGATTCTCTGTCTGCATGTGTATACTTGTATACAAGGAATTTGTGTATGCAACCAAGTTTACAACTTTATAAAAAAACAAAAATGGTAATGCAATAGGAGGTCCATGAAAAGAACTGCTAAGAATTTTTCTGTCATTTTTTTTATTAGTCACTTTAATAAAATGTTCTACTCTGGCAAACACTGGTGACTGGAGGGGAAAGGTTTGGTAGAGTAATAGAAGAAAACCTCACCTCATACTGTTGTAGATACATTCTTTACAGAAGCGGTGGCCACATGTGGTCTGTACAGGTGACCTCAGACCCAGGAGACAGATGGCACATTCATACTTGGAGTCAAGGACAGGTACAAATTCATAGTCATAACCTTCCTGCTGTAGGAACAATAAAAATAAAATAGGAATTTTTATATTAAGGTTTGATGATGTCAACACTGTCAGCCTTGTTCTACAGGTGACTAGACAGTTCTGTACTCTCATAAAAGCACTGCCACATGATGTAGTTATTCCCACATGTATGTATGTATCTTTTTAACCATTTATCTCTATATACCTTGACACCAAAGGGTCAAGGCCTGGCGGCTCCTCAGGCCAGGTCAACTGTTAGGTGGACCATACCAACCCCTCCTGAACCCTCCTCCAGAATATCAACAAGTTCTAGCCAGAATTACTAGGAAAAGACGGAACCAGTGTTAAACAGAAGTGAAAAGTGGTGAACAGTGCTTAAGTCAGTGAAACAACTCAACAGTAACAATCGTACCCAAGTTAACCTTCACAGTGAGGTCCAGGTACCCAGAGTGATACGCGGCCGTGAGACCCAACAACAACCAGCGATGTGTTAATCAGTCTCTCTCGATAGGAAGGCCTAAGACAAAACCTCATCTTACGTCTGTGAGGAATTACTAAACCACATGTCCCTCATCAACACCATATGTGGGGAATCACTACACGTGAGGGTCCTCATCACCATCTGTGAGGAATCACTACACCTGATGGTACCTCATAACACCATCTGTGAGGGAATTACTACACCATGTCCCTCATAACACCATATGTGAGGAATCACTACACCATGGAGTCCTCATGTCTGAGAATTACTACACCATGTGATGCCCTCATAACACCATCTGTGAGGAGTTACTACACCGTGAGGCCTCATAACTCTGTGAGTAATTACTACATGAGGTTCCTCACTTTGCTGTGAGGTAATTACTACACCACGTGAGTCCCCTTGTGAGGTGTCGAGAGATATTAATGTTGTCTAGCACTCAGGATGGAAGGAAACTCTAATGTGGTTTCTTGTATAATATAAGTTATATTATAGACAGTCTGGTGCTGGAGGTGTTGCTTGTTCAGGAAGATGGGCAGAATGAGAGTTGGTTGGTGGGAGAGGACAGCTGGTGGGTCGCCTGCTGCTGGCGGGGAGGCGAGAGGACATGGGCAGGAGCTAAGGCAGCCAGGCAGCGGTGGAGGAGGTGTTGCTTGTTTCAGAATGGTCAGAATGAATCTCAATGGAGAGCAGGCTTATATACCGACAGCAGCTATGAGTCATGTTGGGAAAAACCAGAAAGTGAGCGTTGACTGGTTCCGTTGCTAAATACGACACATCTGGGGACAGCTCTCGCTTGGTTGCTAAGAGCAGCCACGTTGGAATGTGGTGGCATGGTGGCTGTGGCCAGTTAGAGAGCGTCCACTACACCTCATAACACCATCTGTGAGATTACTACACCACATGGGCCCTCATACCTCTACTAGGAATTACTACACCATCCAGGTCCCTCATGCACCATCTAGAGAACTACTGCAGTTCTATCTGGAGTTTGCTGTTCAACACCTACATTAATTTGTATGTTCACTGTATGTTCCTTTACTTTTCTCCTAATGACTTTGTGTCAAACCACCAATGTATGTAATAAGTCATTTATGTCCAATGTTTTCGGGCTGCAATTTCAATAAACCGTTAATTATTATTATGGTTGCCTCTCAATGTAAATAATTACGGTAGATAAAAATAAACTTATTCCAGGATTTATACAGAAAAAAGATTAAATACTTTACAACAATCTGCATATTAATGTATCTTCTATAAATTAAATATAGGTCTACCTCAGTTCAGGGGGAAGTCCAACTTAAGGTGTACGGTGCTTTTAATTTTGGTCGACTGTTATATTATTCCTGTCATCAATCAAGGATCATATGTACATCAATTCTAGTTCTATTTCCTACTTTCAAATTTTTCATCCATTTACACCCTGTCTCACCCCTTTCAAAATTTTCAAGGTATTTTTTATCCTTCTTTCACTTCTCTTGAAACTGATACTGCTAAAAGATCTACTATTGTCATTGAATATTACAGGGTGATATGCTTCTTTTTGTCTTTGGTTTCAGTGATTTTATAGATTTATCGAGTTTGGTAGATTTTTCAAAAATATCGAGATAAAATATTCAACCAAATATAAATCTTAAAAGATAGAAAAAAGAAAATGAAACGGTAGTTGTGACGAGGAAAGGTTTTTCCTGAGCTGAGTTTCTGTTTCATTGAAATCAGTCAAAAACCGGCAGAGAAATTCCACTCTTGAGTGTTAGAAAAGTTCATTTTGAGATACAGTACAGGCTGATAAAGCTTCTCAACATTTCTCCCCAATTCCACATGTAATATCTTGTTTTTCGTGTATTTTTCACTAAACTCAGTTATACAGTGATCCCTGTTGAGTGAACGACTTCAGGATAGAACTAACAGACATTTCTCAAACCAAAATTCTTTGTTCGGAATCTTTTCAGTTACTGAAAATTTTCGAATGTTAATGAACATCTTGCACAGAGCCGTTAGCCACTTCCCAGAATGTTTTGGGTGCTGGGGATGTTTTCCTTGGTCTAAACTACTGTAATCTGTAAATGCAGTTCTATTCTGACAAGTTAGAAATCTTTACTATAGAAATCTCGAAAAGCTTATATAAAAGTTTGGTTTAAATAAATATCTATAAAAATTAAAAATCTGTATGATATGGCTGTGGAAGCTCTGTGTTACCACAGTATTTTTCCTGGAGATGTGGGGGATTAATTGGTCTCTTGTAACTGACCTGACACAATGTCAGGTGGAGGTAGGTGGGGTTTAATGGTCTCATCTTACTGACCTTATGGAATGTCAGGTCACCCTTTCTTGGCTGGGGAATTAGTGGGTCTCATAACCTGAAGATGTCTTGAATAAACATGAAACCTAAAGTATTTTTTAGAGATTGTGATAAGTATAACTGAGCAAAGTGCATCCCTTCAACATTATCTTATATAACATTTTAAAATATGGATTGAGAAGCAGAAAAGTGTGGAGTTATGAAGTGGAAATGAGTGTTTGAAACCTCCCTCTGTTTAACTGGCTGCAAGTAGTCACGCAAATGTCATCTACAGACCCCCACTCCTTATTTGTGTCTTAATTTGTTGGGGTGTGTGAGTGGTGTTGAAGAGATGTGTGTGTGTGTGATGTTGGAATGAGTGTGTGTGTGTGTGTTGGAATGAGTGTGTGTGTGTGTGATGTGTGTGTGATGTTGGGGTGTGTGTGATGTTGGGGGTGTGTGTGTGTGTGGGGGTGGTGTGTGTGATTGGAATGAGTGTGTGTGATGTTGGGGTGTGTGTGTGATGTTGGGGTGTGTGTGTGTGTGTGTGTGACGTTGGGGGGTGGGTGTGTGATGTTGATGGTGGTGTGTGATGTTGGGATGTGTGTGTGTGATGTTGGGGATGTTGGGTGAGAGAGTGTGTGTGTGATGTTGGGGTGTGTGCATGATGTTGGGTTGTGTGTGTGTGATGCTGGTGTGTGTGTTTGTGTGTGTGGTGTTGGGGTGTGTGTGTGTGTGGTGTTGGGGTGTGTGTTGTGTGGTGTTGGGGTGTGTGTGTGTGTGTGTGTGGTGTTGGGGTTGTGTGTGTGTGTGTGTGTGTGTGTGTGTGTGTGTGTGTGTGTGTGTGTGTGTGTGTGTGTGTGTGTGTGTGTGGTTGTGTGTGGTGTTGGTGTGTGTGTGTGTGGTGTTGGGGTGTGTGTGTGGTGTTGGGGTGTGTGTGTGTGGTGTGTGGTGTTGGGGGTGTGTGTGTGTGTGTGGTGTGGGGTGTGTGTGTGTGTGTGTGGTGTTGGGGTGTGTGTGTGTGTGTGTGGTGTTGGGGTGTGTGTGTGTGTGTGTGTGTGTTGGGGTGTGTGTGTGTGTGTGGTGTTGGGGTGTGTGTGTGTGTGGTGTTGGGGTGTGTGTGTGTGTGTGTGTGTGTGTGGTGTTGGGGTGTGTGTGTGTGTGGTGTTGGTGTGTGTGGTGTTGGGGTGTGTGTGTGATGTTGGGGTGTGTGTGTGTGATGTTGGGGTGTGTGTGTGTGATGTTGGGGTGTGTGTGTGTGGGTGTGTGTGTGTGTGATGTTGGTGTGTGTGTGTGTGTGTGTGTGTGTGTGTGTGTGTGTGTGTGTGTGTGTGTGTGTGTGTGTGTTAGGTGTCTGTGTGTGATGTTGGGGTGTGCGTGTGTGTGATGTTGGTGTGCGTGTGTGTGTGATGTTCGGGTGTGCGTGTGTGTGATGTTCAGGTGTGCGTGTGTGTGATGTTCAGGTGTGCGTGTGTGTGTTCGGGTGTGCGTGTGTGTGATGGGGGTGTGCGTGTGTGTGATGTTGGGGTGTGTGTGTGTGTGGTGTTGGGGTGTGTGGTGTTGGGGTGTGTGGTGATGGGGTGTGTGTTGATGGGGTGTGTGGTGTTGGGGTGTGTGTGTGTGTGTGGTTGGGGTGTGTGTGGTGTTGGGGTGTGTGTGGTGTTGGGGTGTGTGTGTGGTGTTGGGGTTTGTGTGTGTGTGTGTGTGTTTGTGGTGTTGGGGTGTGTGTGTGTGTTTGTGTGTGGTGTTGGGGTGTGTGTGTGTGGTGTTGGGGGTGTGTGTGTGTGTTGGGGTGTGTGTGTGGGGTGTGTGTGGTGTTGGGGTGTGGGTGTTGGGTTGTGTGTGTGTGTGTGTGTGGTGTTGGGGTGTGTGTGTGGTGTTGGGGTGTGTGTGTGTGGTGTTGGGGTGTGTGTGTGGTGTTGGGGGTGTGTGTGTGTGGTGTTGGGGTGTGTGTGTGTGTGTGTGTGTGTGTTGTGTGTGTGTGTGGTGTTGGTGTGTGTGTGGTGTTGGGGTGTGTGTGTGTGGTGTGTTGGGGTGTGTGTGTGTGTGTGTGGTGTTGGGGTGTGTGTGTGTGTGGTGTTGGGGTGTGTGTGTGTGTGTGTGGTGTGTGTGTGTGTGTGTGTGTGGTGTGTGTGTGTGGTTTTTGTGGTGTGTGTGTGTGTGTGTGTGTGTGTGTGTGTGTGTGTGGTGTTGGGGTGTGGTGTTGGGGTGTGTGTGTGTGTGTGTGTGTGTGTGTGTGTGTGTGTGTGTGTGTGTGTGTGTGTGTGTGTGTGGTGTTGGGGTGTGTGTGTGTGTGGTGTTGGGGTGTGTGTGTGTGTGTGTGTTGGGGTGTGTGTGTGTGTGGTGTTGGGGTGTGTGTGTGTGTGTGGTGTTGGGGTGTGTGTGTGTGTGTGGTGTTGGGGTGTGTG